TGTATATGTACATGTATATATATATATATATATATGTATATGTATATGTACATGTATATGTACATGTATATATATATATATATATATGTATATGTAAATGTACATGTACATGTACATGTATGTATATGTATATGTATATGTATATGTATATGTATATGTATATGTATATGTATATGTATATGTATATGTATATGTATATGTATATGTATATGTATATATATATATATATATATATATATATGTATATGTAAATGTACATGTACATGTACATTTATGTATATGTATATGTATATGTATATGTATATGTATATGTATATGTATATGTATATGTATATGTATATGTATATGTATATGTATATGTATATGTATATGTATATGTATATGTATATGTATATGTATATGTATATGTATATGTATATGTATATGTATATGTATATGTATATGTATATGTATATGTATATGTATATGTATATGTATATGTATATGTATATGTATATGTATATGTATATGTATATGTATATGTATATGTATATGTATATGTATATGTATATGTATATGTATATGAATATGTATATGTATATGTATATGTATATGTATATGTATATGTATATGTATATATATATGTATATGTCTATGTATATGTATATGTATATGTATATGTATATGTATATGTATATGTATATGTATATGTATATGTATATGTATATGTATATGTATATGTATATGTATATGTATATGTATATGTATATGTATATGTATATGTATATGTATATGTATATGTGTATGGACATGTACACAAGGAAAGGAAATATTTTTGTATGTATTTAAGCGCAGGAGCCGTCGAAGAAGTTGTCGAAGCTCTCTAGATCGCGACGTGTTCCTGCTTGTTACATCTTCTTGCACTGCGGACGGATGATGCGGGGACTCAAATGCAGATGCAAAACCAAAAAACTTACGTATACACCTACATAAAGCTATATGTACATATACATATATACATAAATAAATACATACATATCTGGTTTTATGTTGTTTCCGAGAAACGACGAAGTTCCCTCGTTAAATAAGACGAATGCGCACAAGTGTGAGTGTGAATGTGAATGTGAATGCTTTGTATTCACAATCACAGGCATGCAACAGGCAGGCAGGCAACAGGCAGGCAGCACGGAGCTGGCTCTGGTGTTTTTCATAGAGTAAAAAGATCTCGGAATGACTTGAATAAGACGTTAAATTACAAAAGGGAAAACACATAATGAGATCGTAGAGGAGCGCACAGCAAGCGCATTTTCGAGGTTCGTTTCAGTTCCCGCTGTGTTGCCCTGCATATATATACATACATACCTAGCAGATTTTGGGTCCGAGTTCGAGTCCGAAGATACTCTCGCCACGCCGCAGGTTGCCGAAGGTTGGCCCGATGTCGACTCTGCCTTTGACAAATGTCCGCACCTTCCAGGTACATTTGCCACAATGCCAACGATTTGCTGAGATACAATCTTAAAGACTAGTCCGACTGTCCTTTTTGGCGAAGCAGACACGTTTCTAGATTTTCAAAATAAATGTCCTGAATTTCGTAAGTCTCATTTTTAAAAGAAATTCTCTGTTTCATGCCCTTTCGGATAGCATTCAAATGAGTCGCAAGTTTTTACTTCCCAAATAAACTTTTGGGGCTAGACATTTATTCCTACATATCAAATTTGTGTATTTAAAATAATATAATATCTGTACATATATGAATATATGCTTTCTAATTTGTAGCATGTTTTTTGCTTATGATATTTTTCGTAAGTTATTATACTCTGAACCCATTAAAAATGAGTATAAGGGTATATTGTATTTGTGCAAAATCCAAATGTATGTAACAGGCAGAAGGAAGCATCTCCGACCCCATAAAGTATATATATTCTTGATCAGCATCAATAACCGAGTCGATGTAGCCATGTCCGTCCGTCTGTCCGTCCGTCCGTCCGTCCGTCCGTATGTATGAACGCAAGGAACTCAGAACCTATAAGAGCTAGAGACTTGAAATTTTAGATGTAGGTGCTCCTAGTTCCCGCGCAGATCGAGTTTGTTTCCGATAATCGATAACTTACTCCGTTTCCAAGCAATCGATAAAAATCGATACCGATATCCTGTTTTTTGGGCAATTTTGGTCAATAATAAGAGCTAGAGCCACCAAACTTGACATATAGCTTATAAAATAGAATTTGATGTTTGAAGAAGAGGGTTCAGGGTATCCTCTAGTCGGGAGCTCCCGACTAGAAACTCTTACTTGTTTTTCTTATGTTACTTTTCCTATGTTATTTTATTTTTCGAATCGGGTCTAAAAATGCATCTGACCAATTCACTTACAAAACTTACGAAATGCATGGAAATGTTGGTCAAAGATTTATTTCGGGTAAAGTCCGACTTCGGGCTCAAGTTAATTTTGTTGCTCAGTTTGTGATTAGCCCCAATTTACATAAAAAACGGTGGAAAATCGGAGGAAAATGTTCCATTTTTTGTTCGATCAGCTTCAAGGTAATTCTCCAATATGCTTTTAAACATTTATTTAATACGTTTTTCGCAAAATACTCGAAAATGATGTGAGTACGGGCAGAAGTTAATTTTCCACGGGCGGAAACAGGGTGAAAAAAAGTAATATCCAAAATAACACTCTTTTTATATTTTATTCTATGTATTATATCTTATTCTATTGATTAAGTTATATAATATACAAGTTGGTGTTACCTTTAATACATTTATCTTATTATATTTATGTTACAAATCTTCCGTGTGAGATTCGGTTCCCGAATCTAGTTTTTGACATATATGACCCCAGGTTCGGTTCAAAACTTGGCTTGTCATACTTTATTATTTGTTTAATTATTTAAATATTGCTATAATTGATCTCTAAAAAATCTGGTAAAATAAATCCATTGGAAGGAGCCAAGATATTTATGCTTTGAAACTGTGCCTCCGTTAAAAAGCTTTTATATATGAATTTAAAAAAAAAAAATAAATGGTTCAGCTGTTTTTTTTTTTAAATAAATTGATATTACAACCCTGGTACATCCTAGATAAATCCTTTTTGAAATCAAATTTTATTAGAAAAACGGTAAAAGTAAAAGGATGTGCAAGTGAAATCCAAAAATCAGGTGTTCGTAAGAATTGTATTGATTCTTAAGACCGGAAAGTAAACATTTTTGTATGATTCGTATGCCTCTCCTATAACATGTATTTGTATGGACTTACGTTCATTCGGTGGCACTTGGTGCGTAAATGTTGACAAACTCAAGTAAATCTCATCTTTATGGGGAAGCACAAATATGTACAGAGTATATTTACAAAACCATCCATATATGTCTACGAGTCGGCCGCTAATTTGTGTAAAATTGAGACTTGGGCTGCAAAATGATAAAATAAGGGATATATTGGATCTGCTTTCATGAATTGTGAATTGTTTACTCAATTCTAGAAGGATATAGCCGGTCATTTGTTTAAATGATGCAGTCTGACTATTCAAAACCCGGATACATCCGCGTAATTTCTTTATAAAAAGAGCAGTTTGTTGCTTTAATTGAGCTCTGATGCTTACACACACACACACACACACACACACACACACTGTCTACGCTGTAATCAAGAGAGAAAGAGTGAGTGAGATGTAGAGAATAAGATCCGAATACGTGCCCGCGAAAACGAGAGGCAAGCAATGGAATAACGCGAGAGAGAGAGAGAGAGAGAGAGAGAGAGGGTGATTGAGAGAGAGAGAGGTAAACATTGAAGAGAGCTCTGTGCAGACACAATGTGGGTGCGCCTAAAAGATGGTCTGTGCTCGTCTGCTGCATAACAAGTAGCAAGTTGTTAAAGTTGGGTTTCCTCCGACGCCGAGACAACACACATACATACGAGCATATGTACGTATGTATGCATGTGCATGTATAGTATCTTGCTTGCAGAGAGAGGGACAACAGCTTTATCATTGATGGCAATCAGTGCTGGCAAATTGAATAAAGCGATAATTCGAATATAGATAATTTTCATATATGGCACCAATATTTTAAAATAAAAACAAAAAAATATATATACATATATCAATTTCCTAGAGGACACTCATTTTACAATGTAATATTTATATATTAATAATTTATTTATTCATAATTTAATGTGCATTCAACGTTTCTTAACTTAAATTTAGAGATTTTCTTCAAATTGATCGGATGTATTTGAGTACACATTTACGCAGTACATTAATCGCTTAAGAGTAACAACGCATTGGTTGCAGCGGAAATTCTCATAACCAAATAACAAAATACAATTTTTTTTTTAATGGGATGCTCAGTTTGTATGAATTGCAATACCAGTTGCATCGTATTTAGTTTGTAGCCGTCTACAGTTTTTCCACAGCTAGATGGGGCAACACTGATGTGGCGAGAGACGATCTAGCAAGAGAGCCGACGTTTCGGTATGGCCATCTTCAATCTGCCCGCCTTCTCTCAACTTAGGGCTGTGAGCAAACAGAGGCAAAGGCAGAGCAGATCGTGACCTGTGGCTGTATACACTTGTGTCTATGGCGTCGTATCAGCCTGTATGTGTGTGTATGTGTATGTGTCTGTGTCTCAATCTGTACCAGTATCTGTTTGTTTTTTGTTTCCAGGCATGGGTGTGCGTGAGCACCGTGCGCTGCTCCAGCTAAAGCAAGCGAGGCATTGCAAGAGCTGCTGCTGCCTCAGTCCGCTCGGAATAAACACGGCAGTAAGACGCCGTGCCATACACGCCCGTTATTGACTTTGTCACACATAATTTGTTTTTGCTGCCTGAAAGTTAGTACAAATTAAGTGGTTCATTGATGCCCTCGAGCGGTTCAATGTCGTGCTGTACTGTCGTGTACACATATGTGTAGGTGCGTGTGTGTGAGTGTCCTATGTCTATGTACATTATGTTAAATGCATAAATTAATCTGTATGTATGTATGCATCTGCATATATGTATCTATGAACAATTAAACACTATCGCCAGTGTGAATCAACGAGCACACATAGAAAAAGATCTATGTATATGTACATATGTAAATACATACATCTGTCTAAAATGTGCAGACACATCCTCGTGCAGAAGCGAACACCTAGACAAGAAGTAAAAATGCTAAAAATAATGAAATTCTAATGAAGTCGCTGCCAGTTCCGTTTACAGTACACATGCGTACATATATATACATGCATATGTATGCATAGTGTGTGTGTGGGTGTGTGTGTTTAAATTTGTATAATCACAAATTCTATAACTATCCATACGCTTTTGGCGTGGTATACAATAAATATACCATATATACACATGTGAATGTTAAAAAATCGTAATTGATCAATTCTGCTTTAAAATTCAATTAACGGTGCAGCGCCGACGGCAATTGTGAACACAAAATGTATAAGTTGCTTTAAAATAGAAGACTGTGTGACCAAATCCAATTTCAGTCCAAATCGACATCAGCACTCTCCAAAATGGATGCGTACACATTACCAACGTATTTTCCGCTAGCGTGAGTATTATATAATCTTTTGTTTAATGTTCCGTTTCTGTTTCTGGGCTGAAAGATCCAAAGAAAAACAAAGGTTTGATACGTAAACCTGGTCCAAATTTAATGCTTATCCAAATCGGCATCTGCCAAATATGGTATGATAAATTAAATTGTTGTTTCCCAAGTTTTCGTCTTAATTTTTCAATTTTAAACCGAAAATGTTGGGATAATTATTTCGGTATACTTTTTGGTTAATAGTAAAAAAAAAATAGAATGAGGGGTTTAAACCGATTCGAAACCTTCTTATACCAACCTACTTTACTCTGTAAAGTTAAGTTTGTAAAGTAGTTTATCCATTAAAACAGCCCAGCTAAGAATCTTGATAACTCTCCCTCAGAACCCAGAAGTATCAATTTCGAACCCTCGTTATAATAACTAGGTACATGTTTATTTCATATTCCAGATGTCAAATTACGATTTGCTGGCTGTCAAAAATAGTTATTATAATATATATATACATTTTTATATATTATTATATATATATAATATAAATTCCTATATTTAATCCTTTAGAGGGATTTGACTATAAAACGATGCGAGGGATCTAGACCCCTCAATTTCCCTCCCTACTTTGAGGACAGAGTTTTAAAAAATTAATTTTTTGGAGCATTTCCTGTTTAATTTGAATAGGTTTAAAAGAGTTGTAAGAAGGAAGTTCTTTTGGTTTTTCTTTTAAAAATGGAAGCTAAAGGCTTGCTTCTATTTGGCATTTTGTTTGAATGTAGTTAATTAAGACCTCAGCATGGTCTCAGATACACATACAAACGTGTATATAAAGCCAGCCCGTAATAAAGGGCTTCACTTTCGAGCCTCCCTTTTGTCGGCTGCTGCGGGTACAGCTCGACACGAAGTCGATGTCGATGTCTTTGTTAGCGTCACGATCTCGGCATCATTTTATTTCTCTTAAGCTGTTTCTCTTTCAAACCTGTTTTATAGATCTTCGAAACGACACATAGAAAGAGACTGGCAATATCCTACAGTTATATCTATATAGAAGCTGAAATTTCCCGGCGTTGTTCGGCGCAGTCTTGCTGTTTAATATAATTACAATTAAAATGAATATTTATTTTTTATATTTAATAGAAAATCAAATCGATTTTTCGTTTTGTTTCTGATATTCTAAAAGGTATAAAAAGTTTTTTACAATTACACAATTTTCTATTGAAGCCTTTTGAGTATATATTTATGTCGAAAATAACGCCAAGTCATGAATAGAGTATATTTAATAGAGTGCCCGTGAATACGCAGTTAATAACGCAGGTCTCTGATTGATTTGTATTCGAAGGCGAAAACCTCCTCAAACGAATTTTTATTGTTTATCGTAAATAGTGTACCCAGCCATAAGCCATAAGACAGCACGTTTGAATCTATAATCGAATACGCAAATTATGCCATATATATTCTCCGTACGCTTGAATAAACTTGCACTTATATTTTACACAAAATTATGCCACAGGCTTCACCTCTAAGGCTTTATTTTTCATAGCTATTGAAAACTTAAAACTAAAAAGTTCGCTCAGAATATATATGATCTGCAAGACCTATCAAATGAATTTTTATAGGGACGCTTGGAAAATAAATTAACGCCGAAATTCTAGCCCACACCTATTAAAAGTCCAATTGCCAACAAGGAACACAAATAAGTGTAGAAAAGATCACACAAATTGAGTACACAAAATGTTTCATACAACCATTTTTCACGATTTTTCCACACTTTGGGGTGAAACTAGCCAAATATAGTAAAAATTTCGGCTGTCTAGCTCCTAACACTTGGGTTGTGCGTTGAACAGTCAGTCAGTCAATCAGTCAGTCGGTCAGTCAATCAGTCAGTCAGGCAGGAAAACGATCAAAAGGAAAATTGCAAACAATATTTCGCCCATTTTATAAATTGGTGAAGCGGAAATTAAACTTTTGCTGAATTACGCAAAACAAGTCTTCAATCAATATCCAGATATTTGAAAATGAAACTCAAAACTGTTGCACAAGTATTAAATGTTGATTTTCTAATCTCTCAAATTTTCAAAATCGGTGTATTACGAACAATCGTTTTTTTTTATACCCTGAGCCCAAAGAAAATGGGTAAATTGTTTTTGTGCAAATGTATGTAACAGGCAGAAGGAAGAATTTTCGACGCCATAAAGTATATATATTCTTGATCAACATCAATAGCCAAGTCGATCTAGCCATGTCCGTCTGTCTGTCCGTCCGTGTGTATGAACGCAAGAATATCAGAAGTTTGTTTGTTTCCGATAATCGATAACTTACTCAGTTTCCAAGCTATCGATAAAAATCGATATCGACATCCTGTTTTTGAGCAAATCAGGTAAATATTAAGAGCTAGAGTCACCAACAATAATATGTTTATTCTAGAAAAGTATATATATATTACGTATCTTTCTTTTTACCACCTTTGCGCTACTACTTCATAGCTGTAAATCAAGTTAATAATCCAACTTGTATTGCCCACCAATTTAAGCCACAATTTACATACAATTTACTTTTTGAGAATACAAATATTCTATGGTACAATAAGATATACTGTAGAAAATTTTATTGAGATGGGTTAAGAAAAACCCAAAAGTTATGTGTTTTTCTGCGCAATTGGATGGAGCAGCTAACGCGATAATCAAGAATTTCTGTATCCATGTACACACATTCATGTGCGTACATAAACAGCATTGCAATTGCGACTGTTTTCTGTGCTGCTATTTAAATTCGTTTAATAATAAGACTCAATTATAAGTGCGGCTGTTGAGTAGATGCAGTGGCAAGTGCTGCGGTCTGTCGCAAGTTCAAGCCCTACTAGGGAAACTATTTTTTTTTTTTTTGGCAGTAAGTAATGCGATCAGTTACGAGTTCGAACCCTGTCAATGGAACTTATTTTTGTTTTAATGTATCATTATTACTTCAAACGAGTGCGTAGCGCGTGCTGCATTTGGTGTTGGAATAAGAGAGCTCAGGGTATTCCCTAGTCAGGAGCTCCCGACTAGAACCTCTTACTTGTTATTATTTTTATTTTGTACATGTTTTCCTGTTCAAACAAATTGACTCAGTTCTGCGTTCTTATTGGGCATATATGTATATCTCTCTTGCGGATATATGAGGAGCACAGTAATAATCTCTGTATATAAAACTGTTTGTGCTGACTGACTGACTGACTGACTGCTTGGTGATCAACGCACAGCCCAAACCGTTAGAGCTAGGAAGCTGAAATTTTCACTGTAGTTACCTTATGTGATGAATGTGCACGTTAAGACGGGGTTTCGGGAAATTCCACCCGCAAGTATGGAAAATCGCAAAAACGTTTGTATGAAACTTTTTTGTTTACCACCAAAGTTCTTTGTTCAAATTCGTTTGAAGGGGTTTTCCCACTTTTCCAAAAATGTATTCCTCTTTAGTGGAAATTAACCGGCATTGCCCGTGCGCCAAAGTTGTCTCAGGCAGATTTAACGCAGCTCGATTTGTTGCTATTCTTTTATTTATGATTTATATATTTACTATTGAAACATATATTTTATTAGGCTTCTTCATATTTTATTTATTCAAATATTTATTTCTTATGTTTTTTTATACCCTAACCCATTAAAAATGGGTATAAGGGTATATTGTATTTGTGCGAAAGCCAAATATATGTAACAGGCAGAAGGAAGCATCTCCGTCCGTCCGTATGTATGAACGCCAGGATCTCAGAGCCTATAAGAGCTAGAGACTTGAAATAGAGTAGATGCTCCTAGTTCCCGCGCAGATCGAGTTTGTTTCCGATAATCGATAACTTACTTCGTTTCCAAGCAATCGATAAAAATCTATATCGATATCCTGTTTTTTGGGCAATTTTGGTAAATAATAAGAGCTAGAGTCACCAAACTTGACATATAGCTTCTAAAATAGAAATATATATATATATATATATATTTGATGTTGGAAGAAGAGGGTTCAGGGTATCCCCTAGTCGGGAGCTCCCGACTAGAACCTCTTACTTGTTCTTCATTTCATTTTTTTTATATTTATGGCAGTTACACAGAATTGCAGTTTTTGGCGTCAAGGCGGGCGGCTGCGGCAGCTGCCGCGGCTTCGGCCTCGGTGCTGCCGAGTTCGCCTTCCGCCAACCAGGTGCACACAACAGACGTGAGCAGCTCGGTGCCAGTGCCGGGATCACCCATGCCCCCCTCAGGGCATGCGGACTCCACCTTGGCTTCCAGCGCCGCCGGCGGCCTCACATTGCACCATCATCATCATCATCAGCAGCAGCAGCAGCATCATGTCCATGGGCACAATGTCAGTCATGGTGTGTCTGGGCAACCGGCACAGCCACAGCATGAGTTTCATCCGGCCTACAGAATTCCCAGCTATGTGGAACAGTTCTATTCCTTGCAGAGAGCCAGCCCCAACGCTTCCTATCACGGTAAGAGAAGTAGTCCGCATTTTTTGGCTAGTTGACACCCAAATTGATTGTCGCACACAGATCCATACGGAAACTGTGCGCCAACGTTTCATCTGGCCGGCCTGGGCCTGGGCTCTGGAGAGTATTTAAGTGCCCGGGGCATGGGCTCGCTGAGCGAACTGCATCATGCGGCTGTGGCAGCAGCAGCAGCCGCCGCGGCGGGATCTTTGGCCAGCACCGATTTCCATTTCAGCCTGGACGGCAACGGACGGCTGGGCAGTCCGCGTCCAGGCGGCGGCGGCAGCATGCGGGCCAGCGTTAGCCGGAAACGGGCGCTATCCTCATCGCCGTACTCCGACTCGTTTGACATCAACTCGATGATTCGCTTCTCGCCCAACTCCCTGGCCACGATCATGAATGGCTCCCGCGCGAGCAGCGCGGCAAGCGGCTCCTATGGCCATCTCACTGCCAGTGCCATCAGTCCGATGGCGCATGCGCACACGACGATGGCGCCCCATCTGCAGCAGCTACAGGCTCATCTGCTGCGCGCCAGCGCCGGACTGCTGCATCCGATGCAGGCGGCTGCAGCTGCCAGCTATTCCATGAGCCATGCGGCAGCCGCCAGCGCTGCGGCCCTCAGCCTGACCGAGGTCTCTATTAAATCCAATGCCAAGGAATTGGCGCTGGGCAACGCCAGCCAGACCTCGACGCCAACATCCACGTTGCTTAGCACAGCTGCAGATGAGTCTGCGATCAAACCCATCATCAGCTCGAACAAGGTGAGAAACCGCAACTCTTACGCTAAAGCCCTGCGTCGGTTAATTCTACTCGTATTGTACCAAAATCCGATAGACTCTATAACTTTTGAGAAGTGAGTCCAATCAACTCGAACTTATTTGCTCGATCGACCCGAATCGAGCCGATCGAGGTTCGAGCTCGAACAGATCGAGCACAACATGTTTGAGTATTCGAAAAATGAAAGTTATGTCGATGCAGGGCTGTTATAATCGAATACTAGAAAATTTACCGTAACATTGTAAATCAATTAAAGAACTACGACGATGCCCATCGAGCCAAGCCCATCGAGCAACCGTCGTCGACATCGGAAAGCGTTGCCCAAGTTGAAGCAGACAGCGCATCGGCGAATCTCTTGGAGCGGCGGCAACGGAACAAGGCCTTGGGTGGGGGGCATCGGGTACTCAGCCACCACGACGATAGTCATCCAGATGGTCATCAGTTCAACGAATACGACTGTGCCACGGCGGACACAACGGACATTAAAGATGAGCCAGGTGACTTCATCGAGACCAATTGCCATTGGCGCAACTGTAGCGTCGAGTTCATGACCCAGGACGAGCTGGTCAAACACATCAACAACGATCACATTCAGAGCAACAAGAAGGCATTCGTCTGCCGCTGGGAAGCTTGTTCGCGCGGTGAAAAGCCATTCAAGGCGCAGTACATGCTTGTTGTACACATGCGTCGCCATACTGGAGAAAAGCCTCACAAATGCACGGTAAATTATTTCGAATATTCATTATATTAATTTATTGAATATTATATCGGTTTGCTGAGTTTGCTCAAAACATCTTAAAAAAAAAAAAAAATTCCATACAACAATTTAATTTTCGACCGATCTTTCCTATGCAAGCTATATGATATAGTGTTTCGATGTTTATAGGGTTTTGCATATATATGAGCAGCATAGTAAATCTAATATATGCCAAGTTTGGTCAATATATCTTGAAAAACAAAAAAAGTTTTCCATACGAGAATCTACTTTTCGACGCTCAAGGGTATAAAAATATACAATTAGCCAATAAAAGAATAATGAAGAAACAACAAATAATGTGTACTGTTACAGTTTGAGGGATGCTATAAGGCGTACTCTCGTTTGGAGAACTTGAAAACCCATCTGCGTTCGCATACAGGGGAAAAGCCGTACACCTGTGAGTATCCAGGCTGCAGCAAGGCCTTTAGCAATGCCAGCGATCGTGCCAAGCATCAGAACCGAACCCACAGCAACGAGGTGAGTTGTACACATGTTAAATTGAATCAAGTTTCGAAAACATGGATTAACAAATTTGAACAATTTAAACAGAAACCGTATATCTGCAAAGCGCCGGGCTGCACGAAGCGTTACACGGATCCCAGTTCGCTGCGGAAACACGTGAAAACCGTACACGGCGCCGAGTTCTATGCCAATAAAAAGCATAAGGGCTTGCCGCTGCATGATGCCAATTCGGGTCTGGATAGGGATCGAGACAGTGGCCAGCAGCAGCAGCAGCATCAGCTGCAGGAGCAGCACATTGACTCCAGTCCGTGCAGCGAGGATCTGCATGGAGGCAAACTGTGTCCGGCTAGTGTGTCCAGTCCGAGCATCAAATCGGAGTCGGATGCCAATTCGCCGGGCCAACTGGCTGCAGGACACGGCGGTACTGGCACGAATTCCGAATGCCTCATGCACATCTACAGGCAGGATGATCTGAGTAATGCCACCGTGCCGACCCTCGACGAGGGCTGGCCCTATGACGACGATGTCGATGCCGCCGATCTGCCCATTGTGCTCCGTGCGATGGTCAACATTGGCAATGGAAATGCTGCATGTGCTAGCACCATGGCACGCCAGCGTTTTCGCAGTCGCCTACAGACTAAGGTGATCAACTCGAGCAATTCGATGCTGTCCAATATACCGGAGACCAATCGATCCATTGGCATCATAGAGCTCAACCAGCGTATTACCGAGCTAAAAATGGAGCCGGGCACAACAGCTACATCTCCGCAGCCAGGACCACCTTTGCCGGGCAACTGTGCCGGACTAACCGAGTTGCACTCGCCGTCACAGCCGGGCGGCCAGCAGAGTCGATCCACGGCAGCTCAGCTCCAGCAGGGGGGCTATTCGCAGGCGGCGGTGGCTGCGATGCGTCGCGACAGCCAGAACTCGAATGCCAGCACATACTACTGCAGCATGCAGAGCCGAAGGAGCAGTCAATCCTCGCAGCTGTCAACGATATCGACAATGAGGCCCTGTCCCGTATATAATACGGGAACAGGCGCTCCATCCTTATACGATCCAATATCGCCTGGCTGTTCTCGTCGCTCCAGTCAAATGTCGAATGTGGCCAACGCAACGAATGCTCCATTAATGTGCCAAACATCGAGCGGCATCTGTGGCGGTTCTGGGTTGCGCAGCAACTGCAGCCTGCCTCCCCCGCCGTCATCCCACCTGATTGCCTCGCATTTGCAACGCTTGCAGTCGGGCGAGGCGAGCGCCTACTTTCAGAATCTGAATCCGAATCAGAAGATGGCGCAAAGTGGCGGGCGCTATTCAATTCCAAACGTGCTACAGTCGCCGCTCAATTCGCACTTTGCCAATGCGTACGAGGAAAACCCGATCTCCCAGCATAGACGTCAGTCGGAGCCCATCATGGCACAGCAGAGCATGGACCGAAGGTTCAATCCAACTGTCTTCCAGAACATGCGCAGCTCCGTCAATCTCAATAATAGAAATCGAACGTGTCCATCGACGGCTTCTACTTCAACTTCCACTTGCGTGCAGACCAAGGATTGGCCAGGTGAACCGACAACCATGGACAATCCGCGGGAGCATCATCCCAATGAAAAGGTCAATTTGGATGAGGTCGAGGAGCTTATATTGCCCGATGAGATGTTGCAGTATCTGAATTTGGTTAAGGAAACCGAGAAGCCGAAATCAAAGGATGGAGGAACATCAGCTACGCCAGCCAACAATATACATGATGGAGGATCACTTGCAGCTAATGCGGTTTATCAATCTTTGGTGTCGCCAGCACCCACCCACACTCCCAACTGTCCATCTCCACTTGTGCAACTGATGTCCCCCCAATCCGGACATACAATGTCGGCGTTGGGTAGTCCATACTCTCAGCGAAACTATGAAGCAGAAGGAGCCACCCATTTCTATCGTCAACAGCAGACGGTTTACTGTACACCAAGATCTAATAATGAACCGTTTGTGACGTCAGGTCAGGCGCCGGCCCCGATCCCCAACCCGACTCCGACCATGGCCATGTCCCAGGCATCCCAGCATCCGGCTCAGGCTCCGACTCCCACTCAACCACAATCAATGCCCAGCTACGAGCCACAACAGATTATTGACTCCTCGATGACCAGTCTGCCCGAACTATCGAATCCTAATCCCTTGGTCGTTGTTCCCAACGTAAATAACGGCAACGAGATACAATGCGGGGTCGTCAGCCAGTCTCAGTTGTCGCCGACTGCCAATATGGATGTCAGTTGTCCGGCACAGTTAACAAAGGCCCCACAGAATCCCTGCTTGCCGAAGCCCATGGAGGGGGAAGGTCAGCTAATTGCTCAGCCCCTAAGGGCGGAGGCTAAGGTCTTGTCGGAGCATCCGAGCATTATGACATCAATGCATTCGGAAACCTATCAGCGTACCCTGGAATATGTTCAAAGCTGCCAGAACTGGATGGAGACGAACAGTTCGTTAATGGGCAATCCTCAAATGGCCATTAACCAACCCAATCCGATTTGGGCCGATGTGAGCAGCTCGACGCATCCGCATCCCAGCACAAATATGATTATCAACGATATGACAACATCCTTGAGCTCTCTACTGGAAGAGAATCGATACCTGCAAATGATGCAGTAGCATGCTAAATAATGGTTATATCAACATTTGGAAAGACTTACGCTCATTAGTTTTTATAAATCATTCAAAGATTCATATTCAGAGTTGCCAATTCAGCTTAATTAGACCATTAACAGAGGTCGTTGGACAGACAGTTGACATTTTAAACGCATTTATCAACCCTTTTTACTGTTTTTATTTTAAACACTGGACTTAGCTACTTTTTTGAAGCGACAGGTGGCCACACTGGTCATATTCAGACATGACTACACAAAAGGACAAAGAAATTGATTTTATTCATTTCAAAACCAAATCTACGCGACATACTTCTAATTATCATTCATAAACACAAGCAACACTCATGTACTTACATACACAGCTTCAGGGTACAGATATTTTCGAGTATTGAGGTTTAATAAGAATTATTTATTTTTTTATTTTCGATCGACCGCGAAGAAACACATACATACGTATTTATGTATATGCTTATAAGGAAATGTTTGTAATTGCATTTTTTTAAGCAATTCAAGAAGATGCATTTCTTATTTAAGATAGTTATAATCAAAAACTACCAATACGTGTCTTCCCAATTTTAATTGAAACTTTTTGAACATCGATATAAAAATAAAGATATAATAAATATTTGACTATTGTGACGATTCATATGAATAATTCATAATTTATAATATGTATACCTGATTGGCGAGAGCGAAAATCAATTGTTATACTCCATAATCTTAAAATCAATTTATTAACCTATCTCTAACTGAGCAGTTGATAGTATTAATAGTTTCAATTAAGTTTTTGTCGATCATTCAATATGAGCAAAACGAAATTGTTAACAGTCCCAGCTGAGTTACACGAACAAATTTAACAGCGAAACGAAAAACAGTCAACTTATTAATGAAAAATATGGCAAAACCACATATGATAATTTGCCTTACAATACGGAATATCATTTAAAATTATTTTAAATATTCGCTTATAAATATCAGTTTAGAGCGTCTTACACATGAATGTATGTCCATTTATCTGAGTGTATTTTAACATAAAAATCGAAGATATCACTATATATGACCGACCACCGGTCTGCTAACAGAAAGAGAAACATGTATTGATTATACAGGCTTATCGATAGTACATCAGAGATGTCATATATGTTATCGCAATAATCGGTTTTAATCATCGATAGTAGTGGATGGTTTGACAGCTCTATTATGAAAGTATACACTTTTTTCCACAATATGTGTATGTGTGTGCGTGTTGGAAGTAGTGTACGGAGAATTCTTTTTAGTTGATTGACAAAATATTTTGTTGTTACCGCAATGTAATTCTAAACCATATTCAACTAACAGTGTATAATAGAATGTGATTCAAGAAGCATTGGTAAAGCTGGCTGTACCATTGTTAAAATAGCAAAGCGCCTTTGCTCCGCCTCAACTCCCTATGAAAAAAACACCATTTTGAATTTACTATACATATAAATTAGTGGTCGGAGGACTCGCATATATAGGATGTTGCAACAAATCTTCTGCCAGCATGGCGCCATATACATTTTGGATGCCTTTTTTCTATTATTGCAACTGCATTCCGCAGTGGATTGCGTCAAAGTTGAGCACGCAAATACCCATCTGCATCCGCATCTGGAAGTGAACAACAAGCAGTTCCCATCAAGTGATATAGTTGCTCAGTTCGCTCTTCCACCCATTGCCGGCGGCGTGGCTGGTGGAACAATTGACGCAGGCGGCGGCGGCTCCACCTCAACATCGACGGAGGCTAACTTTGGCAATCAGACGAACGCTGCCAACGGATTGGGAATTGGCTCCAATAGTCAATCGAAAAACTATTTTACGCATCTCACCTTTGATTATACGCACAACGTACTGTATGCGGGCGCGACAAACAAGATACTAAAGCTAAATGAAAATCTGCGTGTTCTCTCGGAGGCAGTCACTGGCCCCAAGCACGATGCACCGCAATGCCACGCCGGCGGCTGTCCGGAGGATGTGGAAACAGCGCTGGTCAATAACTTCAACAAGATATTGGTAGTTAGCTATGCTCATAACGACGGCATTCTCATCTCATGTGGTAGCATCCGACAAGGTATGAACAATAGAATACATTTTTTTGTGCCTTGAACCGATTCAAAGTGGTAAAGAATGTAATGAGCAGGCGGAGCCATCCCCGATCCCCGATCCATGATCCCCTAGAGCTGCCTTGTCCGTCCGATCTCAGATACAGTAAGAACTACAGACTAAAATGAATCTCTTCCTATATGTGTAACCATGATCCGTTTCCGATCCGATATAAAGATCTTGTTTTTGGGTATATTTCGGAGCTCAAGAAAACTAAACGTACCAAATTTCGTACTCTTCGGATTCCTCCGCCCATTCCTTAAAAATTGTACATAACTCTCGAAGTGATTATATAAGGAATTTGTATATATTGCCCAGATGGCAAGTATATAAAGCAAATGCTTTTGATTACCGGCCCGTCCGATTAGAGAATTTTTGATTTGCAGATTTATATCCATGAGCCCCACAAAAATAAACCGTACTCTCATCCAGGTAAACTTTTATAGAAGTTTTATTTATGAACCTTTTTCTTTCGGCAGGTGCTTGTGAGATTTACAATCTTTTGCGATTTCCGGCGGCACCGCAATTTGTGGCCGTGCCATTGGCCGCGAATGACGAATATGCTTCCACGTATGCGTTCGTTGGGCCCGCGCGTTATTCGTGGAAAGAGGAGGATATACTCTATGTGGGAACAACGTTCACCAACGTGGGTGACTATCGACATGATGTGCCCGCGATTTCGTCGCGCCGTCTCGACGATCTAAACTATGCTGAATTCTCAATACAGCAGTCGATTATTAACATAGATGTTAAGTATCGTGATCACTTTTTAGTTGATTACGTCTACGGATTCAATTCGTCAGAGTACGCATACTTTGTGCTCGTGCAGAAGAAGTCGCACCTGGCCGAAGAGGCCGGCTATGTGACGCGTCTGGCACGCATCTGCATTACGGATCCCAACTATGACAGCTATACGGAAATAACCATACAGTGCACAGCCACAGACGATCACATCGACTACAATATATTGCGCGATGCCAAGATTACGCACGCCAGCCAAAAGCTGGCCTATCAAATGGGCATCAAGCGAGACGATCATGTGCTGGTCACGGTTTTTTCGCCATCGAAGGAGATTAGCGACCAGCCTGAGAATAAGTCGGCCATGTGCATATATAGTCTCAAGGACATTGAGGATGTGTTCATCGAGAATATACACATGTGTTTCAATGGCACGATCAAGGATCGAAATCTGGGCTATATATCAGGCACCATAAATGATGGCAGATGCCCGATTGTCGGCTCCTTGGGAAATATCTACAACTTTTGTAATGTGGGACTGAAAATAAGCGGAGTTGCTCCAATATCGGCGCATGCCTTATTCCATTTTGATAATGTGTCCGTCACCTCGGTGACAGCGACAACAACAACCGATCAACAGCATTCGCTGGCGTTCCTTGGCACCGAAGCGGGCACCATCAAGAAGGTGTTATTATCCGGTCAGAAGCCCGGCGAATACGAGGAAATCGCCGTGGACGCCGGCAGTCCCATTCTGCCCAACACAATGATGTCGCCCAAAAAGGACTTTCTTTACGTTTTGTCGACGCGTAAAATAACCAAATTGCGCATCGAACATTGCTCTGTCTATTCAAATTGCTCAGCCTGTCTGGAGTCGCGTGATCCCTTCTGTGGCTGGTGCTCATTAGAGAAGCGCTGCACGGTGCGCTCCACCTGCCAGCGGGATACGTCTGCATCCCGCTGGCTATCGCTGGGCAGCGGGCAGCAGTGCATCGATTTCGAATCTATTGTGCCGGACAAAATACCCATCGCGGAGCTGACCCAGGTGCAGTTGGTTATACGCACACTGCCCGAGCCGTTCAATGCCAAGTATCGTTGTGTGTTCGGTAACTCGACGCCAATCGATGCCGAAATACTGGAGCATGGCTTGGCCTGCGCCACGCCGCCAATCGATCAGAGGCCGAGCATTGCGGCCAACATGGATCACATATTGGTGCCGCTCTCGGTACGCAGCTCGGAGACCAACAAGGACTTTGTCTCGCGCTCCTTTGCCTTCTTCGACTGCTCGCATCACGCCAACTGCCAGTCGTGCGTGCGCAGTTCGTGGGGCTGCAACTGGTGCATATTCGACAACAAATGCGTCCACAAATCGGAGCAATGCCGCAACATGGAGAATGCCATCAGCGCAGAGGGCCAGTGTCCGCATTTGAAGCGCAGTCGCCAACCAATATTGCTGCCGGTTCGTGTACCTAAGGAGATACGTTTGGAGATCGAGAATCTGCCAAAGCCAAAGAGCGCTCACGCCGGCTATTTGTGCACAATTCAAATCGAGGCAGCCCAAATGCTTTTGCCGGCACACATTGAATCAAACAAGATCGTCGTGTGCGAGAAGACTCCGTACTTCTACGAGACGAACACGCACGAGTACGAGGCCAAGGTGGAGATCACATGGAATCGCCAGCACTATGTCGACACCGCCACGGTCATATTGTACAAGTGCGATGTACTTGGCTCGCATCGCGAGCACGCCGATTGCAGCCTGTGCGTCACACGGGATCCCAAGTACCAGTGCGCCTGGTGCGGCAGTTCGTGTGTCTACAATGAAACGTGTGCGGGATCGGTTGGGCATGGCTATGATACGGCCACGCTGGGTTCGGCTCTCTCGCTGCAGAACGAGTGTCCCCGTCCGCGGATCGACATCATTAAGCCCCTGTCCGGGCCGATCGAGGGCGGCACTCTGGTGACCATAGAGGGCAGCAATTTGGGCATACGCGAGGAGGATGTGCGCGGCAAGATCTCGATTGGCACCGTGCCATGCGACCTGGTCAACTATCAGATATCTGTCAAGATCGAGTGCCGCACGGGTGCAGCGCTGCACGAGATGTCGGCGCCCATCAAGGTGGCCAATGATGCCGGCTACACGGAGTCGAGTGTACAGTTTCACTTTAAAGATGTACAGTTGACCGGCCTGTATCCCACAGTTGGACCCAAATCTGGCGGCACACAATTGTCCTTGTTGGGCAAATACCTGAACATCGGCTCCAGCATTCGGGCGTTCCTCGACGAATACGAGTGCCATATCAATGTGACTCAGGCCTCGTCCTCTCGCCTGTCGTGCATAACGTCCGAAGCGACACAGCCGGAGCCAATACGATCTCTGCGCCTGGTTGTGGATGGCGCCAATCGTACCTTCACGTGCAAGAATCCCGACTTTGGCCAGCAGCAGCTGATAAGCACATCGCGCAGCTATTACGGGGCATATTACAATATGCCGCCGCCGCCGTGCTCCATCTTTAACTACACACAAGATCCGCGTATAATGCAAATCAAGCCGCTCCGCAGCTTTGTCAGTGGCGGT